CTGTAGACTGTAACGTGAGAGATATGGTGATGTAACTATGGTATCTGTAGACTGTAACGTGAGAGATAAGGTGATGTAACTATGGTATCTGTAGACTGTAACGTGAGAGATATGGTGATGTAACTATGGTATCTGTAGACTGTAACGTGAGAGATATTGTGATGTAACTATGGTATCTGTAGGCTCTAACGTGAGAGATAAGGTGATGTAACTATGGTATCTGTAGACTGTAACGTGAGAGATAAGGTGATGATATGGTGATGTAACTATGGTATCTGTAGAACGTGAGAGATAAGGTGATGTAACTATGGTATCTGAGAGAACGTAGAGATATGGTGATGTAACTATGGTATCTGTAGACTGTAACGTGAGAGATATGGTGATGTAACTATGGTATCTGTAGACTGTAACGTGAGAGATATGGTGATGTAACTATGGTATCTGTAGACTGTAACGTGAGAGATATGGTGATGATGGTGATGATTCATCGTTATAAAAATTATGATGTAATATGAAGTTGCTGTACGTATATAATCGTAAGATGTTGTGGGTTTAACAGCAGATTGAGTGGTGGTCAGTCTTGACTGGACATCACATAGAACCACAGACAGAAACAGATTTCATTAATATCAACTGAAGAGCATTTCACACTCCAGACAGTATGTTTACAGCGGCGTAGCAAATGTTTTCAAAGAGTGTATGCTTTAAAGAGACTGTCAAAGGGAAAAGCCCCGATGGGGGTCTGAGGGCATAATTTGTTCAACAAAATAACAAAATGCAGCAATAATTTTTGTTAACAATAATCGCTGTTTTGAGCGTAGGCCTAAGCATATGACATACATTATTGTTTCGCCACTGTCTTTAGAAATATCTAATGTTACAAGCAAACGTTCCGGTTGCACATTGTCATTGATATATAATGTTGTACAGCATGTTTATAACGTGTCTGAATATTAATAATTACAGGTAACATTGATATCACGATACATATATAGTTATACCATAGGGAAACAAGAACAACTCGGTACAATATCTACATACAGCATTGATTGACTGACGTGCCACACTTTGTATACTCACACAGGTATGGCGAACAGGTTAATGACTCCGAGGTAGTTTACTTCGAATTAAGTATTATCAGTGATTTTACGATTACCATTTGACATGAAACGTTTTTGCTGCCGCCATTTTCACGAGTGTACATAAACCAAAGTCATTCCTCAACAACCACCACTTAACCGCTGTCTTGGTGAGAGTGGCATTCTACCCATATCCATGGCGACCTCAATATACAACCATCACTTAACCGCTGTCTTGGTGAGAGTGGCATTCTACCCATATCCATGGCGACCTCAATATACAACCACCACTTAACCGCTGTCTTGGTGAGAGTGGCATTCTACCCATATCCATGGCGACCTCATTATACAACCACCACTTAACCGCTGTCTAGGTGAAAGTGGCATTCTACCCATATCCATGGCGACCTCTATATACATCCACCACTTAACCGCTGTCTAGGTGAGAGTGGCATTCTACCCATATCCATGGCGACCTCATTATACAACCACCACTTAACCGCTGTCTAGGTGAGAGTGGCATCCTACCCATATCCATGCCAACCTCAATATACAACCATCACTTAACCGCTGTCTAGGTGAGAGTGGCATTCTACCCATATCCATGGCGACCTCATTATACAACCACCACTTAACCGCTGTCTAGGTGAGAGTGGCATCCTACCCATATCCATGGCAACCTCTATATACAACCACCACTTAACCGCTGTCTAGGTGAGAGTGGCATTACAATCATATTCAAGAAAATTCTCAACACACCACCACCATATCGTCACTAATCTCTAACAGAGTGGTGTCTCTACTCAAAATTAGCAACTTAACAACCAACTCCCTCCCATACATTTCTGAATGGCGTTCTCTCGATTACAATGGCGATCAACAATATGGCTATCATCACCAAACTATCCATTTTTGAGTAAAATAAAATATTGCGGCATTTATTACGGTAATCAACAGTTTACCAATAAATTGATGACACCGTGACATCACATGAAATGCACCACTCAATATGACAAACATCACTTTACCTTCCATGATGAAGTATGGACGACGTTTTCAAATTCCTACATTCTGAAAAAGATACGCAAAAAACTTAATAGTCTATGAAAACGGCGTCTATACAATCGACCATGTGGACTGTATATCCCCCGTCTGTCTCCCCAGTATATTCCTGGCATGCATACAATCGACCATGTTGACTGTATATCCCCCGTCTGTCTCCCCAGTATATTCCTGGCATGCATACAATCGACCATGTGGACTGTATATCCCCTGTCTGTCTTCCCAGTATATTCCTGGCATGCATACAATCGACCATGTGGACTGTATATCCCCCGTCTGTCTCCCCAGTATAGTCCTGGCATGCATACAATCGACCATGTGGACTGTATATCCCCCGTCTGTCTCCCCAGTATATTCCTGGCATGCATACAATCGACCATGTGTACTGTATACCCCCGTCTGTCTCCCCAGTATACTCTTGGAATGCATACAATCGACCATGTGTACTGTATACCCCCGTCTGTCTCCCCAGTATACTCTTGGAATGCATACAATCGACCATGTGGACTGTATATCTCCCATCTGTCTCCCCAGTAAACTCTAGGCATGCATATAATTAACCATGTTGATTGTATATCCCCCGTCTGTGTCATCAGTATATTCCTGGCATGCATACAATCGACCATGTGTACTGTATATCTCCCGTCTGTCTCCCCAGTATATTCCTGGCATGCATACAATCGACCATGTGGACTGTATATCCCCTGTCTGGCTCCTCCAGTATACTCCTGGCATGCATACAATCGACCATGTGGACTGTATATCCCTCGTATGTCTCCCCAGTATACTCTTGTCATGTATACAATCGACCATGTGGACTGTATATCCCCCGTCTGGCTCCCCGAGTTTATTCCTGGCATGCATACAATCGACCATGTGATCTGTATATCTCCCATCTGTCTCCCCAGTAAACTCTAGGCATGCATATAATTAACCATGTTGACTGTATATCCCCCGTCTGTCTCCCCAGTATATTCCTGGCATGCCTACAATCGACCATGTGGACTGTATATCCCCTGTCTGGCTCCTCCAGTATACTCCTGGCATGCATACAATCGACCATGTGGACTGTATATCCCCCGTATGTCTCCCCAGTATACTCTTGTCATGCATACAATCGACCATGTGGACTGTATATCCCCCATCTGGCTCCCCGAGTATATTCCTGGCATGCATACAATCGACCATGTGGACTGTATATCCCCCGTATGTCTCCCCAGTACACTTTTGTCATGCATACAATCGACCATGTGGACTGTATATCCCCCGTATGTCTCCCCCAGTATATTCTTGACATTCATACAATCGACCATGCGGACTGTATATCCCCCGTATGTCTCCTCAGTATATTCTTGACATTCATACAATCGACCATGTGGACTGTATATCCCCCGTCTGTGTCCCCAGTATACTCTTGTCATGCATACAATCGACCATGTGGACTGTATATCTCCCGTCTTTGTCCCCAGTATACTCTTTGAGTTCCTTTGAGACATTCCTGTCGTTCATGTGAGTAAACTGTCTACAAGAATGTCCCGATATACACTAGTGACCGAGGAGACATATATCCGTGATATTGGAGGAAACGACCTAAGTGCAAGTGCGTGATAAATGCGAAAAACTGAAATGTGTGATTGCGGATCATTTTGAGAAAATATTTTGAAGCGAATATTGTTTACAGTTACACAAAATACTACAAACCATTTCGGATTCTGACTGTATAATTCCATGAGGGCCTCATACAAAATGGTGCTCTTTATAAAATTGTATATCTAGTATTAATGATGATTTGTTACAAGAACTTAACAATTACATACCATTTAAAAATCTAGTGTCTAGTACCAATAATCGACCGCCTCTCATATCTCTCCTGGTGTCTAGTACCAATAATCGACCGCCTCTCATATCTCTCCTGGTGTCTAGTACCAATAATCGACCGCCTCTCATATCTCTCCTAGTGTCTAGTAACCAATAATCGACCGCCTCTCATATCTCTCCTGGTGTCTAGTACCAATAATCGACCGCCTCTCATATCTCTCCTGGTGTCTAGTACCAATAATCGACCGCCTCTCATATCTCTCCTGGTGTCTAGTAACCAATAATCGACCGCCTCTCATATCTCTCCTGGTGTCTAGTAACCAATAATCGACCGCCTCTCATATCTCTCCTGGTGTCTAGTACCAATAATCGACCGCCTCTCATATCTCTCCTAGTGTCTAGTAACCAATAATCGACCGCCTCTCATATCTCTCCTGGTGTCTAGTACCAATAATCGACCGCCTCTCATATCTCTCCTGGTGTCTAGTACCAATAATCGACCGCCTCTCATATCTCTCCTAGTGTCTAGTAACCAATAATCGACCGCCTCTCATATCTCTCCTGGTGTCTAGTAACCAATAATCGACCGCCTATCATGACTGTAGTACGATTGAGCCACACTGTTATGTGTATTGTATACTTATTTCTCACGATTTTGTAATAAAATCCACATATAGGTTGTTCCGTACACATTGAATACTTTTCACATATCAAGGTTAAGTATCCACTTATTTCCTATAAAATTACGTGAACCATGTTGTTTTCGTTCATTTGACATAAAACAAACTCTTTCTTTCATTGGCTTCTTACATTCCGATTAATTCTCCTAAAAAACGAACCAAACATTGAAAATTTTGATTTTTCCTCATATGGACATACTAGAATTAATGTTGATTTTTAAAAAAAAATCTCGGAGAAAAGCATGGCGATTCTCGAGTGACACTTCCCTTCAGTGATAATTTCAAGCGAAATGTCCCAGTTACCCGTTCATGGTGAGTTGTTACATTATAAGGGAACATACTAATGACCAGATTAATCCGACTATAACTTTGCTACTGGCGTACTTCCGTCTAACAGAGTTTTATCCGTGATTTCGCTCATTGGTTGTTCCTCTAGACAACCGTTCGTGTAATCCTTTTGTCGCTCCTTGTTCACTCGATATTGTCTGACGATACGGGTAATTTCTTCTGCTGGCGGGGCGATGATAACGACGAGAGCCATGATGACGGCCCAGGCCTGCGTAAACCCGAACCACACTACAAACTGTGTCTCGTCCATCATCGGGAAACTGGCCATGATACCAGGAATAATGAAGGCGACGACGACGATGCTGCACGTCCCGCCAATATAGGCCGTCATCTTGGCCTTGCGGAAAGTAGAAGACATTTGCTCGAAGGTTGGTTTGGTATCATAATGGAGACCCTTAAGCTCCTCGCGGTAGTTGAGTTCCCACGGATTCAGCGGGTTGTCTATATCATACAACTTCTGCCACTCAATATCTTCGTCAGAACTCGTTTTAATTTGATTGGTGAATAAAGACACAACTATGCAGCCAATCAAACTAGCTCCAAAACTGCAGCAGGTGCCAGCTAGAATGGTATAGTCTTGTACGGTGTTGAGAAGGAAGTTGCTGAGTCCCCCCTCGTACATGGACGCGGCTGCCAGTGTAGCCGTCACACCCAGAAACAGTCCAGCAAGCCCACCTGTAATGACACAAACACATATATCAACCAGTGGATTGTAATATAAAATATCGAAACGCGTTTGCTCATCACTCGGAGTAAAAACGGATATAGCATTTAATCAACATCCTAATGATATTGTTGATGTTTGTTTTTGAAGTGAGGGTGATACATTCGTCTCAAAGATATATATTTTTGTGTTCTAATACACCTTGACTGTTAACTGATACAAAAAGTATGCGGAGATATGACATTAACTGCTCCTTCCGGTTAGACACAGCAAGTTTTCCTCCGAATTATTACGACAATCAAAACAGAGAGTAATAGAGAATGTTAGCCATTGAAATAGATTTGATACCATTACTGCAAACCGAAAAGTGTCACCTGTCACCTTTAACATGACCTATCACTGCTATCAAAATTAGGTTGCTTGATTAACAGGACATTCGCCCTGTAAATTTTTTCGTCTGTTTGAACCTTGTGCTTTTTGCTAAACGCAATCCTTTACATCTCACAGCAAACCTACATGCAAAAAAAGGGGACTTCAACCCAAGTTCATTTGCTAGCTAAGCGACTGGTTTTTGTTGTTCCATGAGACTTTCTGAGTCCATCAGTGCTGGCACCAGTGATCTTCTTAAGTTCCTTAATATATGTTAAGATGATGGTATCCTTTTAAAACCAAAAGAACGAAATATCAAGTTTAAAAATTTTTATTTCTAACACGGAACCATTGGAGAATGTTTTCTGAGGAAAAGAGGACAAGAAAAGTGTTCCGGGAGAGTTTTCTTGATTCATCGATGACACTTTTAAATCTAGGTCGTATCTATATTATGCGATTTTTGGATGATGACCTGGGTAGCGACAGCGAAACTATTGTCAAATAAATGATTACCACAAACTTCGTATTTAGTATTTCCCTATTCAATCATTATGGCGACCTAACAGGTAAGTTTTCCTCGTCAGCAATCGTTTCATATCACAGAAAATCGTGATGCCGAAAAGTCATTGAAATTGAATTGAATAACAGATCATCTGTCAATACCGATAATGAAGCGGTGAATGAAAGAACGTTTCTACAAAGAAATGGAAAGTTATAATAGAATAGTGTACACTGTGGGATTGCTTTGAAATTAATATCTTATTACATTTGACCAGCCATTCCTTGGTGAGAGTAGCTTATAACTACAGGATAAAGTAGCGGAAGACACAACGCTGACAAACGTAACGCCTTCATTATCTAAAGAATATGACAGCTTTCCCTTCCCCTTGTCTTTGGAAAGAAAATATATTTACATTCTGCCATACCGGTGACATTATATATTAACGGAAAGTTTCACTATTGTATACTTAACTCACAATATCTTGGTTCTAGTCACGATTTTCACAAACAATGATAATAAATAATTCGAAGTCAAATATAATGCCATTGTTCAGCAACGCTCACATCACAAGGAAATTAGTTATTAAAATGTGCTGAATGGTGAAGTGTGAAGTGTAAAGTGTTTTCCCCAAAATTCATTATTTTCCATGTATAAGTTGATGACAGATGTCAGTGTGTTTTGTCAATATTACGATTTTCGTTAAAACCATTGGCAATTGGCCGAAAACAACTAACTGCACAGAGTTTTCATATCCATTTGGTCCATCTGTTGATTGTTTGTTAGCGTGTTGGATAATATTACCCCGGTGCTTATTTTGTGAACGTAACATCATATACCTTGACCTACATGTATATGGCAATTAAGCAGAAGACGCTTACTCTTCGGAACAGCTCGTTTTATTTGCCTGGTACTTTCTCAACTTATAATGTCTCATTTTTCATATCAAACCGTCGTTTGACCGACTATGACTATGTATTAATCATTAATTGGTAAAGATATCGTAACATCTCTACCATAAGTTCATTTTTTGACCTAGATCTCTGGTAGCGTTGTCATATAGTTTAAATATTCACAGCTTGCTGAATACATTGTAGCTTTTATTAAAGATTGTTTTATTAGTTTGCCACGTCTGCATCATGAGGTACTACTACAGAGGAAATCAACGTATAACATAGATGACCCCACGATTTCAGTGCTTTAACTTATCAACACAGTTCCCTTGGCTTGTGTAATCTCTCTATATATAACGTTGGACCTTTGCTATGGAGAGTATTCTCAGAGTATTCTCAGTTAGTAAATAAATTCTAGAGATAACAAAAATTCTTATTGTCATCAATAAGCTCATCGACGCTAAATATAAGCTTAATTGATATAATAGCATACAGTTATAACAAGCAATAAATCGGAACGTACCCTCTCCGTTACAGGTCACAAAAACAACAAAAACGACACGTTAACAAAAACTCCAAGTCAATAAAACGAAGGCAAAACATGAACGAACGACAGATTTACACAAAGACTCCTGAAAAAGAACAAGGAGAATAACACCAGGTGTTCCGGCAAAGTAAGCGTTTACTAATATTGGTCAATACCAGTCTTAACCTGGAGGGAAAGCTATCCATGTTGTTATCACTGTTGGAACGCAGCTTTACCGAATTTAAACTAGAGAGGTGACGTGATCTTGTGACCATGGATTGTCACGAGGTGCTAAGTCATTTGTGTATCTTGTTCAACGATCACCTCACTTAAGAAGGTATTTCTATATATATTCTTTTATTGTCTACACCCGCGAGAATACCGTACATGTGATGATGATGATTTGGGATTTGTTTGGGCTTGTATTCCTTAATATAAATTTGTACATTTCTGATATTGTTTACTGATAGACCAAAAGACACAGAAGTGCATAACGCTTTCAATAAATCTAGAATGATATAGGGCCAGATACTGGACTATACTGCTTTCTAAAGCTTTTTTTTCTGTCCTTTACGTCAGTGATGCTACAGCCTAAATTGTTGAAACCTTGGAGGTGAACGTGGAGGATTTAATTTGGTTTTGAATGTCCAAAAACAAACAGACAGGTGAAATAATCCTAAAAGTCTATAGATTTTACTATTTTCGATATGATTAATCGCCTTTAGGATGATGTCATATCTGATTTATTTACAATGCCTATTACAGTAGTGTTTGTATCTATAATTACTGCCAAACATTACTATAAATTTCACGCCAACTCTTGAGAATAATATTGTCTGAAACTCAATGAACCATTATAAAACGGTATTATAACGACAGCTTTACAAACGGCTCCCTCCGATAACGGAGCTAAGAAACCTCTCTTTATATTGAACTCAATGCACCAACATAAACATTAGTAACGTTTAATTCAGCTACAGATATATCAATTAAAAACGGGAACAGATTGTAGGAGCACTAACTTTGATACCGGTACATCTGCTTCTAGTAAATGAATATTTCTGTTTTAATTCGAAAGACTTGAAATTAAACAAGAGTCAATTTATCAGCAGCGAAGACGGATCCGTACTGTCCTGGTGAAGATGAACGTGCTCGTTCATTTAGTGTTAACCCAAATCTGCTTACAACGTTTCTCTTTGTCTTTTCATATTCTGTAACACTCATTTTTTTCCCTGGCATGGTATTTTTGTTTTGACATCGCAACACATTGCTGAACTATTTGCCACCTAATCCGAGATCCGATACAATTTTGTTTATAACTCCAAACTTCTGATGATCGCTCTTCTATTTATGAAGGAGTAAGCACTATACCGTAAACAAATGTGACGTCACAGCGAGGCTGTCGACACCGATAAGAGTTTTATTGGCCAGTGGCTAGTGATTAATTGCCCATTGATTAGCTTACAGAAGACATTCATCACTTTCGCAAAGACACCCAATTAATTGATACGTAAAACGGCTCTCTGCGCTGGCGAAATCCACCTTCGGTTTTATAGGTTATTTTGAGTCATGACCTTTGTACTTGGTATTTTTCATTACCGGGCCAACCACCGGCCAGTAGGCGCCATTGTCAATGGGACTGGTACGAGGTGCTGTCTGGATAAAATGTATGATATTGATGCCGTTCGGACAGGTGGAATGACTGGCAGTATTCCAGGAGGTGTATTTGTTGATGTTTCCTTATGAAAGGCCTAACATATGGGTTAAGCCACAGCCAACAAAAAAAACGGCTGTTATTTTATGGCTCGTTCCCAATCGGTTTATGTATCTAAGGCTGAATTTGTAGAACTGACATGGTTTATACCTGTAATGTCTAAATGAATGACAAAACTCGGTAATTAACATAAACATTAAGGCAACACATTAACAGTAAATAATAACAAAAGTTAAGCCGTCAAATGTTATATATACCATAAAAATATCACACGAAAAAAAGTAAAACAAGAAACAACGACAGACCGAAGTGACGAGACATTTAGACGCAGTACCCAAAGTCAATACAAGAACAGAGCGAGCTGATGAGAAATGTTCGCTCAGTACCCAAATAACTTATATTTTTAAGTCGACACAACAACAGAGCAGACTTGATGAAAATCTAAACTCAGTACTCAAGGTCGATACAACAACGGACCGGATCCGATGAGAAATGAGCACTCCATACTTAATTCAACAACAGGCCACACCTAAGGAGTGATGTGGACACAGATATATCTACAGAAGTATATCTTTCCGGAACAATTTGGTTTAATATGCGATGTATACATGGTAGTAGATATTTGAATTAAAACAATCGACATCTATCATTAAATACATGGTATTTAGAAAAACTTGTTAGCACAAAAATATTGTAATATAGGAATATATTATAAAATGGTTGTTACTCTCAAGAAAAGGAAAATTCAATACCAAAATGTATTACTCAACCATTTTTTTTTTTTCGAAAAAGCATTTAAAGCTGAAACCGACGGACGTTGCCATTTTTAATTGCCTGTATTTCATCTAAATATTCGAAATATTCATAATTCTGCCAACGATTCTTATTTCACAAAGACCTTGAAATACTGTTTATTTTCATCTTCAGATATATTGATGACGTCTTGTCTTTAAATAACAAGAAATTTATTAACTACATCCATCGTATATATCCACCAGAACTGGAAATCAAAGAACGTATTTGATGCTCGTTAGTTTGCTTGTTGGTTACTTGGATTGACCAAGGTTTACATGGTGGATGTCGTCGACGAAGCAGAAAACGCTTACTTTTCTGGAATACCCGGTCTTATTCTCCTTGTACTTTTTCAAGAGTATCCGTGTAATTCTTTCTTTTATTCATATTTGGCCCTAGTTTTATAGAATTGGAGTTCGAATTATGAATATGTTGCCATGTTTGTTAACGAAAGCATTGAAATGACATACAGATGACGTAGTATTAGTGCACCCTCACCTGACACAAGTCCCTTCGACGTCGCCTTAACCCACAGGATGGACAGCATGACGGGTGGGAAACACGGGATGGTGAGGATGGCCCCAGAGTAGAATATCCAGTTGAGGTCGATACCGGTTTCAAATATGATAAGTCCAAGAGGTATGATGGAAATAGTAACCCATATAATACACCAGTTCTTAAACTCGATCAAGTAGTCCTGGTACTCACGGTACCGACCGTGAACCGGACACTGATAATGGGGTTGTATACCCGAAGCTGACTTCCGGTTCACTCTGCGCATGTCCTCAACACAGTGGTGACATCGACTAACGCTACGGCACTGGCAAAGCAAGTCACGTTCAGAGTCGTTTGCATATGTAGCTGTTATAGTCTGCTTCTTGGTACGACCACATAACACACAGTGAGTCCTTTTTAATCCCTGACTGAAACGGAAAGCAAGAAAGCACATATATTAAGTAAATTCTGCCGTGTGTAACATACAAGTGACAACCGAAAAGAAATCAAAATCCTGATATTAGTTAAAAGTCCAATGGGAGATCTAAATGTTATAACACGATAACTACAAGAAATGATCAGTACATCAGCTATATCAAGAAAAATAAATTTGTCATAAAATATGGTCTGACTTACCATAACAGCCTGACGTAGGTCTGGTAGATATCATACACACTGAGGACTTACCAGAACGGCCTGACGTAGGTCTGGTAGATATCATACACACTAAGGACTTACCGGAACGGCCTGACGTAGGTCTTGTAGATATCATACACACTGAGGACTTACCGGAACGGCCTGACGTAGGTCTGGTAGATGTCGTAGACAACAATAGATGATATAGCCATCACCTCGCCAGATCCTGTCGACATCAGAGCCATAGCACCCATCGTTAGAATCAGGATGCCACCAGCAGATCCAAGAATCTTCTCAGCGATCAATGGGGTCACTAACCCTGTTACGAGACAATCGGTTAAAAATTGGTGCTTGAATTAACTTTGAACAGATAGGTTGTCGTTGTATGCTACAAACTTTGATTTCATTTCTTTTATTGGCATGTTTAGGACAGAAATAGGAAATTCTTACTGTGGATATATTCGCGTCATTTACCTTGATCTAGCTGACCGTTGTTGAGGAGATGTGTGCCATTTTCGGCACTAAGGGCAATGTAGGCCATGCCTGTTGTGGTTGCCATAGTTGAAGGGATGGAGAACCACATAAAGCCGGCCAGAATGAATCCCCATACGCCCTGAACAGGTTTGGCGGCGATTCTGCTCTGCCAAGACGCTTGATCGCAGTATGTAACAGCAGATGATACAAAAACTTCAATGACGCCATACAAAAGGGCTACTCCAGACCGGAAAGTGATGAAACTATATTCAGCGTTCTCTTTTGGTCCTTTTACGCAAGAAATAACATTATACATTTTAGTGACGTCACCAATATTATCAAATTCACTCTCGCTATGGAGGATTTTGACAACAAACACTATTAAAAGCGTAAACACGAGACAGGCGTTAAAATAGGAGACATAGAATGTTGTTCCAATTCCACCAATCAGAGAGTAGGACCCAAACAGGGTGGCCATCACAAGTAAACAGAATTCGTCCGACGCGTCCTTAGTGAGTGACTGGATTGTAGCCCGTCCAGCCAATAACAGGCCGATCATGATGACCAGGTTCGTAAGAAGAGCAAAACAACAGAAGACGATGTGTGCTGTTTTTCCAAATCTGGCATGGATAACCTGTAAATGAAATTGATATTTCCAAGTTAAGAGTTGGAGAGATAGTACTTATTCACGGAGATTCTCTAACATACGAGTATAAAATATTAGATTTGTACTGACATTTTAATCTACAATACATATCAGCATTGTTGAATGGGGAAATAACAGCGAGATATATTCTTATTGCAAAAGAGCGCCTTAATAATTGTATTTATGCAAGGCATAAAGTAATTTATATTATCTGATTAGTTTTTATATATTTATCTGAATGTATTAGCATGTTATCAATTTTCTGTCAGAATATTATACATTCTTATCCGGATCACGCTTACACTCCTTTTGTTTAATACTATCGCCACAGTGAGGGGAAGTCACGTGATGTTTTGGTTTATGTGATCATGTGACTGGTGAAAAAATTTTGTGCACAGAAAAATTTTGGTTGACCAGATATTTTTGACCCACCTCCTCCCCTATTTTGTTGATTCCTCCATTGATCCCATCTTTTTTGCTTGATGTATTCATTATCTTGTTATATATGACTTAACGTTACACACTTCTTTTATCCTACAACTGGCATTTGAATAACAATTCCCATCTTTTTAGCTTTTTATCACTGTAAAATGGAATATTCTGTTGCGTTTTTGCACTTTAACATAGGAACTATCTGTGTACAGTATATCAGAACGTGAAATATACTACATTACATTATAATATATGTGATGCATCACTATATCTATCACTGAGACGGCACGATTATGTAATCAAATGACGTCACACCCTCAGATTCTATGTATAATTATGTGTTTGTGATCTGAAACACTTGAAGTATCCATTCAGAATACATAATACAAAGTTTTGTAGAGTGTATCATCACGTTTGGTGTTTACAAAAGGTTAACTCGGAATATATTAAGGGATTTCGAAATCACTGCCGTTTAAATCTATTAAGAAAATCAGGTGGTTTTTAATCGAACAAAGAAGAAAGATGTTTGGTATTATCTTATAATGGGAACCATGTGAACACTGCATCTAGAATAATCAATAAATTATTTTCGATAATCTGAAATATTTCGACAATAGAATAGGAAATTCAGTTTGACGACAGTATCGAACGGAAGGGAACATCACAGGTAGTTGTGATACAGGTGAGTCACATATACGACAGTATACAGGTGTATACCAGGTGCTCCTGTTGGAAACACTCCTTTGTCATTGAAGTTGGAATCAATCAGACGTAGCGTTTTGCAGTCAGGTTCCTTCAGTCAACGATCGCTGACATGCAATGTACTTGTAAACATCAGTCTGCTTAGTAGTTCAATGCAACAAAATATGCCGGTTAGTAATAAATGTTTTAGTTTGTATAATAAGCACTTAATATTAATCAATCTCGTTAATGGTCTTGCTCTTTTGTAAACTGATAAGGCAGAAGATAAAACAGGACCTTCCACAACACGGAAATCGCGCATGTTTATATTACAATAACATTGCACCAAAGATTGTAATACCAATGTAATTCTGGGTTCAAATAACACATGTAATTACATCAAAGCAACGACACTCTTAACATGTCTAAATGAAATCTATACTCGCCTCCCTTCTAATACTGTTCCCTGTAACTTATCTCAACACCAGTTTTAGAACTACAGAAAACTGGGTTCTGTCATAGAGACCAGAATGTAATAGAAGAAACAAGACCATATGTTACAAAGATCATCTGAGAAAAAAGACGCCAGGAACAATCGCTGCTCTAAATACCGTCTCATTATTAGTAATTTGATGTCAATAAAAGAATAAATTCTGGGGAGAGTTCGTATCCCAATCTTCATTCGGGCGATTTTGTTATTCTTTGCTTCTAGATTTTCATACTTAAGGTTCCTACCATCACTGACAAGTCCTAGAAGTAACAGCTGTATGTTCTAGGTACTGTATCTATATAAATTGGTATTGGACGGTGTTATTCCATGATGTATTTTGTACAGTTGTCCAGGAATAATGTCAACATCATTTTACTAGATAAATGTTGTTGTGGTGATAACTCGGCCACCTGCCGTACTTTTTATTTATTTTTTTTTTCATCCAATGACTTTGTCTCGGCGTTCTAAGAAGGTAACATGTACGCTTATTCAAACATTGATTAGCGTAAACCTAGATTAATTTGCCAAGATCAAACTTCGAAAGGTGGAACAAAAGACAACTCTACCTGTGTATATCTGGTGACACCAGCAATACGGGTGATGTTGCTCGTAAACAATTGGAAGTGTCATTAAATAACTAACAGAAGATAAAACGTTTTGTTTATTTTGTCGGGATAGGATGTACGTTACCTGTAGGTAGGTCTTGGCTCCCGGGGCGCGGGTCTTAAACTTCACTGAGAATATGGGGAAGATGAAGATGTTGATCATGATTCCAACAGCATACCAGAAAGGTCCGGCGATTCCGTTCTGTTGCATAGAGAAATAACATTCAGAATCTTATTGTTATGTACAATGTGTTACATTTACTTTAAAAGAAAATGTAAACAAACATTCAGTTATACAGATATCCGGTACAATGTATAAAGTCCGAAATATAAAACCATTAGATTGTACATGTATAACAACTACAAAATATAACAAGTACAAAATATTACATTACAAAGTATAACAACTACAAAATATAACAAGTACAAAATATAACATTACAAAGTATAACAACTACAAAATATAACGTTACAAAATATAACAAGTACAAAGTATAACATTACAATATATAACAAGTACAAAATATAACAAGTACAAAATATAACGTTACAATATATAACAAGTACAAAATATAACAAGTACAAAATATAACATTACAATATATAACAAGTACAAAATATAACATTACAATATATAGCAAGTACAAAATATAACAAGTACAAAATATAACATTACAAAGTATAACAACTACAAAATATAACGTTACAAAATATAACAAGTACAAAATATAACAAGTACAAAATATAACATTACAATATATAACAACTACAAAATATAACAAGTACAAAATATAACAAGTACAAAATATAACAACTACAAAATATAACAAGTACAAAATATAACATTACAATATATAACAAGTACAAAATATAACATTACAATATATAACAACTACAAAATATAACAAGTACAAAATATAACAAGTACAAAATATAACAAGTACAAAATATAACATTACAATATATAACAAGTACAAAATATAACAAGTACAAAATATAACATTACAATATATAACAAGTACAAAATATAACATTACAATATATAACAAACAAATATATAACAAGTACAAAATATAACAAGTACAAAATATAACAAGTACAAAATATAACATTACAATATATAACAAGTACAAAATATAACAAGTACAAAATATAACAAGTACAAAATATAACAACTACAAAATATAACAAGTACAAAATATAACAACTACAAAATATAACAAGTACAAAATATAACATTACAATATATAACAAGTACAAAATATAACATTACAATATATAACAACTACAAAATATAACAAGTACAAAATATAACATTACAATATATAACAAGTACAAAATATAACATTACAATATATAACAACTACAAAATATAACAAGTACAAAATATAACAAGTACAAAATATAACAACTTACAATATAACAAGTACAAAATATAACAAGTACAAAATATAACAAGTACAAAATATAACAAGTACAAAATATAACATTACAATATATAAACAAGTACAAAATATAACATTACAAAATATAACAAGTACAAAATATAACAACAATATATAACAAGTACAAAATATAACAAAATATAACAAGTACAAAATATAACAACTACAAAATATAACAAGTACAAAATATAACAACTACAAAATATAACAAGTACAAAATATAACATTACAATATATAACAAGTACAAAATATAACAAGTACAAAATATAACAACTACAAAATATAACAAGTACAAAATATAACATTACAATATATAACAAGTACAAAATATAACATTACAATATATAACAACTACAAAATATAACAAGTACAAAATATAACAAGTACAAAATATAACAACTACAAAATATAACAAGTACAAAATATAACGTTACAAAATATAACAAGTACAAAATATAACAAGTACAAAGTATAACATTACAATATATAACAAGTACAAAATATAACAAGTACAAAATATAACATTACAATATATAACAAGTACAAAATATAACAAGTACAAAATATAACGATACAAAATATAACAAGTACAAAATATAACGTTACAAATATATAACAAGTACAAAATATAACAAGTACAAAATATAACAACAAAATATAACAAGTACAAAATATAACAAGTACAAATATAACATTACAATATATAACAAGTACAAAATATAACAAGTACAAAATACAACAAGTACAAAATATAACAAGTACAAAATATAACATTACAATATATAACAAGTACAAAATATAACAATATACAAAATATAACAAGTACAAAATATAACAAGTACAAAATATAACAAGTACAAAATATAACAAGTACAAAATATAACAACTACAAAATATAACAAGTACAAAATATAACATTACAATATATAACAAGTACAAAATATAACGTTACAAAATATAACAAGTACAAAATATAACATGTACAAAATATAACGTTACAAAATATAACATTACAATATATAACAAGTACAAAATATAACATCACAATATATAACAACTACAAAATATAACAAGTACAAAATATAACAAGTACAAAATATAACAACTACAAAATATAACAAGTACAAAATATAACATTACAATATATAACAACTACAAAATATAACAAGAACAAAATATAACCAAAATATAACAAGTACAAAATATAACATTACAATATATAACAAGTACAAAATATAACAAGTACAAAATATAACAACTACAAAATATAACAAGTACAAAATATAACATTACAATATATAACAAGCACAAAATATAACATTACAATATATAACAAGTACAAAATATAACAAGTACAAAATATAACGTTACAAAATATAACATTACAATATATAACAAGTACAAAATATAACATTACAATATATAACAACTACAAAATATAACAAGTTCAAAATATAACAAGTACAAAATATAACGTTACAAAATATAACATTACAATATATAACAAGTACAAAATATAACAAGTACAAAATATAACGTTACAAAATATAACAACTACAAAATATAACAAGTATAAAGTATAATAAGTATAAAGTATTGAATGTACACTGATAAATTGACATTGTACTAGTCAGGACAGAATGATGCTAATGAAAAGTTATCATTCATCTTAAATTAAAAAAGAAAATATCAACATGGCAACATGATCATAATCCAAACTCAGATTCAATCAACCTAAAGCAAAATATGAACAAACAAAAGGTTTACAGGGAGATTCTGTAAGCGTGCGTATTTTTAGGATTGGTGCACCTCCTGATTTTCCTTAGTCGCTTCGTGGGTTTTGAACGATTAAGGCCTTTCGTATCACTGACGAGACGTAAAACGACGAAAGAGTGGTATGATGAAGTTTAATTCAAAGTCTAGTTCCACTCCATTTCTTAATCATTTGTATTTAAGGGTGTGCTTTTGTATAAACCTTTTTCAGGAATGAAGCTATGGTTTTTTTTCTAGAATATGAAGTGTGCCTATACACACAATGAACGAGTATTTGAATAAGTTACATGCTCAATAAGGTGATTAGGCCAAGTAGCCATAGGGACAACTCAAATCATTATATTATGGAAACAGTTTAAAAGAAAGAAGGTTGTGTGTGTGTGTGTGTGTGTGTGTGTGTGTGTGTTAATTTTCTTAATATCTCAGTTGTAATGGACTAGATTACCTTCAGTAGTGTGACAGTTGCCAACAACCCCGTGTCAAAGCGGCTTTCATTGTAACAAACATACTGCAACTTATTGAGACACAGTAAAACAGGCACCGCTTTGTGTCCTCACTGTGGCTGCTAAAACTCAAAGTAAACAGTAAACACCGTGGATGGGCGTGCCCAAGTGTCTGTTGAGGAGGAAACCTATTGAATACTATAACAAAAACTTCCAATGCATATTTACAGATTTTTTTTAAAGTGAATAGATTACATTAGACTGCCTTGGTATGCGTTGTGGGGTTAAATATTCAGCACGGTGGTGTTTATCGGCAGTAGAGGGGTGTTGGTTTCTCTAACACAGCTTACCCAGCGGTTTGATCAGACTGAATTTTAAAAAAAACAACTAATTTCTGTTACACATAGTTATTACAAAACCTGATTAAATCTCTTCAGCGATTTCTGTTTTGGATGTTGTTTCACTGTAACATATAGAGATAATTGTTTTTTTAATTAAGATGTAATTGAGGCTGGCGGTAGATACAATGTGCACGATGTTAATATTTATTTTGTCTAAATGGTTCAAACATAAATTTTAAAAAACCCAAAAAAGTCAAATATGCAATTACCGACATGTCACGAAAATCTTAATTCATACCCTTAATTTATTAACACAAGGGGATAAGTATGAACAAATGAAAAACTTACACGGACGCTACTAAATTACAAGGAGAATAAGACAAGGTGTTCCAGAAGAGTAAGCATCTTCTGCTTCATCAATAACACTCTGGATGCCTTTTACCTTTCGCAGAATTGTTTTATAAGTAAGAGAATGTGGGTTAGAGTGAGGAACTCATATCGTTTAAACTAAAATGTTTGATATGAACGTAAGTTATTCTACCATTGCAAAGTGTTTTCACACCAGAAACTTTGTGACAAAGTGATAAACTATATAGATGCTAGGTTTTTGGGTTTTTTTCCGACAGATAATCTAGGAATCTTGGGAAAATGGCAATGACTCAAACATTGAAAAAAATAATGCCACAATTTTCCCTTTGTCCTGTCATTGTTGATATTCAACATTCACTTATTTTACAGTCAGTTCTGGACTATATCCACTCAGAGCTAGGTTGAAAGGATATGTACTAGGTAGACTCGGCCCGGTAAATGTTTCTGTCGTTACTAACCAAGAATTACAAAAGTTAGTGTTTATACCTACTGTATAACCAGGGACACTTACGACCGTATCAACTATACAGAAGGTAGGATTTAATTTTACTGAGACGGCTGAGTGTGGTGCTCCACACTGGGACACGATACCAGATTAACTGTAAGTACGATTGATTTTAGCACCTCTAATTGACACGGGTTGTCCTCTTAAGTGAATATTTATTCCGGGCAGAGGTTTTCAATGATAATATTTCCTAATCAAATTGTGAGGTCCAATCCCTTACAACAAGCACGACGTCTCTTGTTGTCGTTTGATAAGCATATTAGTTATAGAATCAATTAGTTCCATACGGCTTGGCATTCTTCAGAATGATAAACTTACAAAATCA